TAGCGGGATAGCTCATAAATCTGAACATATTCTTGACACTTAAGCACGCAGTCAGCTTTCACGACTCTCTCGGCCAAAGAATGCTTGTGAAAGAAAACGGATATGATAGACCATATGTACCCTAACCAGAATCACAATTCAGAAAATTTCAAAACTTTATTTCAAGGTTTCTTAGGTTGGGTAGAATGAAAATCTGGAATACACCCATATCAGTAGCGTACCCAGGATTTCGGCTCGGGGGAGGGGGCGGCAAAAAATTTCTTTAAATGAAGGTGCGTGGCGTTAGCCACGCACTCCAAAATTTTTTTAGGGGGGCCTCCCAAAATTTTTGCCGGCCCCCAACCCCTAAAATCTGGAAAAAGGGGGCGTGGCACGCCACTGGCCATATATATGTGGGTCCTTCAAAAATGCACAGAAAATTTATCCAATACAACAACAGAAGAGTTAGAAACTAAATGCATAAAATTCCTACGTTGCCGGCAACGTTTGCGCGTGAACAATAATGTGAGCTCTTTGGCAGTGTTTCGCGAACAGGTCGCAAGCGTCGGCAATCACAAGCGTAACATTTATTTCCGCGCAAGAGATGCGGTCACCGCAGATGCACTTTCATTGTCAATCTACCAGCCTACTTTGCTAACTCAACATGCGTGGAACTTACTCAAATTCGACTCTGTAACGTGAGAGTGGCAAAGAAGGTTATTCAATGAGGCAAATTAGATTTTCCCTTCATATTGTTTCATAACTTTGAATGGCTGTTAGTCAGACATCAAAATTATAATTTAGATTCCGTTACTTGAATAACAAGGACCCGAAAATTGGGGAGAGGAAGGGAACATTTGGAGGACCATAACTTGTGCAAATACAATGAAGGTGAGGCTCCGCCCATCCCTGCAACTTCACCACACCGTATGGGGACCTTGACCAAACCCCTACTTTTATTTTTGCTGATTTTCTTCTCTCTTATCGCAACATATCCCGCGATGGGCCAGAATAAAAACAGAAAAACTAAGCAACCAGGTCAGCAACCAACCCAAACCTAGTTTTCACGCAGGAACCTGTCCCCGCTCCTAACTCAAAATTGGCGCCATGACAACACCCTCGATCGTGTCGGGAACCCATACCTCTGAAGGAGATTAGCCGCGAATTTTTGCGTCTTTTGAAAGCAATACCTTCAAAATCGACTCCTCTAGCGGGGTGGGGGACGAACGCCGTCAGTGTTTGGGCCGCCTCCGCGAACCACTGGTCCTGGAACGACATGCAACAACCTTTGCAAAAGGACCAGTTAGCAGCAAAAGGCGGCTCAAACTGGCGGCGTTCGTTCCTCTATCCCCTCTAGCGTGTCGTTCTCCTTTTTGGTTCCCTCTAACGAGTATATATTTAGATGGTCGGTGCGCTACCAAGCCACACTTCAAATGACTAATCATGGGCGGACCAGTAAAAATGTTACCTTTAGTCTACCAGAGGGCGCAAAGGCTGAGGTAAGTTGAGTTTGATAGCATTTGTTTCCATCTATGGTGCATCTCCCAGAATTGTTCCCATAGGTACCATCAACGTGGCTCCTTTCGATCGTTTTAACACGTTAACTCCAGCAAATTTAGCCGCTTATTCGAAGTTGACATGTTAAAACGATCGAGAGGCAGAGGCAGAGATCGTTGATAGTACTGGGGACAATTTCTGGGGATGCACGATATGTATAACGCTAAGAGAAACAGCGCACTAATTGGTTGTGACATGCAAGGATTGGCAGAGATGGCTGGTGTATCGTGGAGGTATTAGTGGTAGAGCCTCGGGCGAGAGTTGCAATGAGTCACGAAGGCGATTGCTCACACCGAGATGTACTATTGCACAAAATAGTGCATCTCGGTGTGAGCAATAGGTGGAGCCGGACGTGAAACGGATAGCCTTCGGTGGCTTAACGATGACTAGCACGCGATAGACTCCAACGTGGCGTCACGCTGGACATGGATAGCAAGAAAAAACTGCACTATACGAAAAGAATGGATGGTATGGAATGAAAAAAGTGGTAAGGTATAAAAAAAGCAAACAAATTTTAGCTAAAGTAGAAGATCGGATGTGAGATATTCGCGAGGTGTGCAGATTCAGTGAGACGTATCCTTTGGTTCAAATAGCTTGGGGGCTGGAAGGCGGGGCTTTGTGACCTGATTAAGGCTGGGTTATGATCATGAGCACGCGCGGGAGAAACGCAGACCGCGTCGCGGGCGCGAGCAGCCTCAATTAGGTCACGAAACCCCGCCTTCCAGCCGCCAAGCCGTTGAATAAGAGCTTATATGTGAGAGCAGACAGCGCGCGGCAACCGACGAGATCACTTGTAACTCGTCAGGATGAAATTTCCTAGTTGAACAACTAATTCTTCAAAGTGCGGCAAAGCTGAAAGGGAGAGAAAATCAAGGTATTGCAGAAAACGTGAGATAGCGCGCGTCTTGTGCAATAATCATATCGAGTTACGAGGGACTGGACGATAGATAGTCAAAAATTAGCGACATACTAGGAAGCGCAGAGTAGAAGAGGAAGTTGATGGTTCTCAGCTCATCTACAGGCTACTAGATCTGACGTTTGATAGTGTCTCTGCTGTGCTAATATTCGCCGACAGCGTTCGCGCGTAACAAAAATAACTGCGCCTGCAATGCCGGCACTACAGGCGTAGCTATTTGTTCACGCGTAAATTTTGGCGACCAATACCAGCACCAGGGCACTCTATCAAGTCACACCTACTAGCTATACTCAAAAGAAACTTTGCTTATTTTGTGCCTCTCTCTGCCAGAAACCATTATCCGTCGGAATCCGGCGCTGACCTTAGCTACAGTATATAGCTAACGCGACCATGAAAGGCGACCCAGCTGCCTCTTATCTTTCCTTTGGCTATGAATCTTACTTATTACATATGAATCATACTTACCACATCATCAGGTCATCCTGAAACTATATTTTATCTTGTTACTGTTATCTGTTTACTCTCTGGTCTTGCCACGGTATTGAAAATTCTCCTCATCTTGGATACTCTCCCAATATACCATAATGTGCAAATACTAAGGAACTGATTTTTCTTTAAGATATCTCATGGAATTTATCATTATCGAGATATCTCAATAACTTTTCGTTATGTAAAAGGGTTTTATTTGATGAAGTTAGTAGAACCTCTGCTTCCCAAAACGTGTACATTCAGGGAGATGAAGTCATCCTTACCAATGACAGTCTTATTTTGGAATCCTTAACAACAAAAAGAATTCGTAAGTGATACTTCTACGTCATCTATCAACATCATTTGTAAGCAAACTTAGGTCCTCATTCATTACTTGAATACGGATAGCGAAATGATTAGTTATAAATACGACCCAGAGGATAAACAACAAATCGTATCAAATGCAGGACCACTTTATGATCTGATAAGTAAGATCAGTGGAAAAGTAAGAGGCAGCCGGGTTGCCTTTTATGGTCGCGTTAGCTATATACTGTAGCTAAGGTCAGCGCCGTATTCCGACGAATAATGGTTTCTCTCTCAGCCTCGCTAAACTGGCAGGGGAGGGTTGGAATCCAATATCTAGTTAGGAATACTATTTCGAATGAGAAATTCACCAATCAAAAGCTGTTTTCCCGAGCTCAGCGTGCGAGCCGGCTCAGATCCAGGCAGGTACAGCCGATTCGTCAGCGCTTCTCACATTCCCCTCTTGATTTCCTTCTTTGCTGATTTCAAATAGGAACCCTTGGAAGCCCGATCAGAAAATCTTGCTCAATAAGCGGACTCTATGTCTGTCTGTATTTGGATACGTACCGCATATCTAGAAATGTTCATTTCTGAACACATACACTTCGGGGCGAAGCGGGTGTCTAGTCTTCTTTTCGTTATCGATCAATAGCAATTTTATCGATTTTTCGCAAAGTTTGAGCTGCGTGGTAAGTTGGCACAAGAGGTAGTGAGCATGCTGATTACGAATATATTATCGACGGAACCGGGCGCAGCCGGGTTCGCCAGCTAGTGTAGAAAATAAAATCGGAGCAGGAACAAGTGCTTCTTAAATACTGCCTTTTATAAAGTCTTTTTGGTAGGGTTTTGTACTTACCACCCCTTAATGTAAGAATTCTTACTGGGAGGAAAATATGGAAAAAACTGAGCAGCTGAATGGTCAGCAAGCAGGCATTCAAGAGGTTAGGACGTTGAAAGGACCATTCGAGAAACACAAAAAACTAAAGAATGAATAATCTGAAATAGAATCACATTTCATAGTAGGGCCCAAACAAAGGGAAAGACCTATGATGGATACAAGCTGGAAGACTGGCTATCATGGCGTTTGAATTCAATTGTGTGGAGCCTTTGCTCATTTCTGCCCACTGTAACATATTCTTCGTGCAGTTACACTTGATATTATGAGGACGCCTAGGTTTGAATTCTTGTATCAGAAATGTGTGAAACAGTTGGGGAAGGAGGTTGAGCTTTTTGTATCCGGCCCCAGGATCATGGGCTGATTTATAAGTCTTTCTTTCACAATTGTTGTTCTTTTTTAGGCTTCGTTTTCTAGTTTCCAGTCCAACAATTTTTTGCTCTAGTTTGTTATTGGTCAGTTCTCTAAAGTACTTCTAACAATTTTTATTTTGAGTTCAGTTTACTTTGTATTTTCCTGCTTTTGTTATATCTTACATACCTCAATCACTATTCTGATGCAGTTACGGTGCATTCCCAGAATTGTTCCCCTATGAACTATCGACGTGGCTGTTTTTTTGATCATTTAAATATGTCAAGCTCGAATAATCACCTCAGATTTGCTAAAGCTAACGTGTTAAAACGATCGAAAGGCATCCACGTTGATGGTCTATACGGGGAACAATTCTGGGGGATGCACTATATGTATATAATTACCGCACAAAGCAGCTGCTTAATGATGTAGTAGTGTTTGATGGACGTTTACAAAATATCCGTCGACCCATTTTTTTTCTTGAGCTTTTTCTCTCTATAACTTTTGTTTTCCAACTTTCTCACTCAGCTCGGTAAATTGCAGGATCTCGTGATGGCGGGGGAGGCCCGCAACCGGGTGTTAGCTCACGGAATGAGACGGACGGCTTCGAATCGTTCGTTAGCCTCTGTGACTTTGTCCAATGCCTCGACATCTTCAGTTCTCAAATCAGAAATGGTCACGAATCCCTATCCATTAAAGGTAAATGTACGAGATCAGGGGTAAGTAAACGAACATTTGTTTATTTAGGGACGAGAGGTGGTGTTAGATTTGGAAAATAGGAAGCAATATGAAGAATTACGGGTAGACATCAAGAAACTAGGTGGAAAAATAGTTGATATGATCAATGAGGATCGGCTACCTTTCGTCGTCATATCCGATCATCCAATGGCCGCATGGTTGGAAGGATTGAAGGGTGTGTATAAGGAAAAGGATGAGGTAGGAAGATCCAACTTTTTTATCTTGCTTATACTCTATGAAAATAATAGTTTTGACGGGATTTACTAGGTAATAATGAAATGTGGAATGTGTTCAATTTGCACTGATTTTATGTCCGCCTTTTGCATATGTTTCAGTCATTAGTTTCTTGCTCATGGCATCTTTTTAGCGAATAAAGAAACTACCGATGTTACTCAAGGATGCTGTGCAAAATCACGTCAAGGTCCGCTCCCTAAAGACGTTTCAAGAGCAGTTTGCACGATTCAAGTCACGGATCAGCGTTGCCAGAGCTGTAACTAAAGCTCCTCAGAAACGATTACCAGCAAAAGCGGATGAGGTGGGTTTAGAATGTTGGAGATTGTTTTTTTCTTGGTCAGATGACGATCCTTTGGCAATAGTTACCAGTTTGTGTTGTCTTCACAAAACATATCTTGGGATGGTATTTCTTACTCTTCCTTTCTTCGCTGTATCCAGAAAGACGTCAGTCTCATTTTTTTTATCCAGCGGATGTTCTGCCTTTGGAACTTGTTTTTTCGAATTTTCGACTTTTCGCATTGATGAAACGATAGCGTCATTTTGTAGGATGACAAACATGTACGACAACTGCGACGACCATTCATCAAATGGCAAGATAATCAAAAGCGATATGCTCCGTCCTACAAGGTGCTATATTACTACATCTTTTTATTCAAATTGCTCAACAATACTTAGGAGTGCCCGACGTCACGATGGACAACTGTCTATTTTGGACCGGATGCTGGGAACTGCGTGTTTCGACGCGTGACAGCTGAACAGTTGGAGAAAAGGTGGCAAGCTTTTTTGCATTGCCTATGTGATAATATTTCTACTTTCTAAAGGAAACAACGCGAAAATGAGGCCGCCATCTCTCCAGAAAACTCCGATCCACCCAGTTCTTCTGGAAGGGAAAGGGAGGAAAAAAGGAGCGGAAAGTCTGGAAAAGATACCTTCAAGGTAAGGCTGCATACTGCATTATGTCTTCTGAGTCTCCATGTATGCCGTTTTTCTTAAAACTTATTGGATTGTAACAATATTTAGCAAAATAAAACCGTAAGAACGCCTACGAACAAGTTCTGCGATCTTTGCGGGAAAGCGTTTGAGGATATGGAGCAGGTAACTTTTAGTCGTTGCTTCTTTTTTCTTACACGTTCATTATATTTCTCCTTCTCCCAACTAGTCAGGATCTGTGCATTCTAACATATCTGTGGAGGGCTGACAACCTTTGAAACCGGCATGCTACAATTTTAGGATCCCACTCTATCTAGGTATACTGTCTATTACCATGGTTGGGCTAAGATACTGCTCATAACATAGCTGGTGTAACATTGTCTGGCACCCCTCTAAGTCGATAAGTAAGCTTCTCAGTTGACAAGAATTAGTTGTTTCTTTCAAACTGAGACGTGGTTCATGTTCTATTGGTTTTATGAGTGCAAAGTGAAGCATGTCTGCTATCAAAACAGTCGATGGGCTGCATTTTTACTAATCTATTTGCTTGTGGAATCTTTATAGCCTTTACTTGCCTTATTTGACACTTTCGGCCTTAGGAAATGTAGCCATTTTTTGAAAGCATGAAAACACTCGACTCAAGTATGATGCATGACCCTTTTGTTTAGTACCATTTTTGTTCATTGATACTCTCATCATGTTTTGCACGTTATTCAACTTCCGGGTATCTGAGTATTCTTTGGTATTTTTTGTCATCTCTATTCTTTGTCATCTTTCATTATCACAACATGCGTAGTGCTTTCTTTTTTGGCACTATCCCATTATATTGCAGCATTATGAATCAAAGGAGCACGCTACTGCGGCTACACGACCCGGTGTCTACGATGAGGTCGATCTGTACGTAGGATCAGTGGTTGACTATATTATCGTAAGTTGTGTTCATTATTGTAAGTTGTGTTCATTGTGCTAGTTCATGGTCACAAAATATAAGCGCTTGGTGCTGTCTCATACAGTCATCATGTATATGCATCGTGCGTTGTGCCAAGCCAAACCGACTTATTGCAGTGTCCTGGTGCTCCATCCACTCCCCGACTGCCTGAGATTATACCTGAAGAAGACGAATTCAGTGAAGATGAGTCAGATTACGAGTACAGTGAAGGCAAGTATAAGTGTACGTTGTTGAATAAGAAGTCGTAGTCTAATAACAAACCGTTGTCTTTTATCCCGTTATTGTTTTTGCTTGTTGACATGGTTCTCAATATCAGGTATGTATATATGGTGCATATCGCGTTAGATGTCTTATTGCTTTTTTGCCAATGAGTTATGACGCATCGTTTTCACTGTGATATTTTGATTGCTGCTCCTGAATTAGACCAAAAGCTCGACAAATCTTTTGCTCCTATGTTTGCTATAATTCTTTCTATCCACTGCCATTCTTGCCCTGTGAAATTTCTCAACACCAATCCTATGCTCAAATGCAATTCGATGCGGCTATTGCATGTTTACTGATGCCTATACTCTGTTTCACAGTTATAGCCTTCGCATGAGTTTGGGGTTAATTTTTCTGACTATACTAAATGTGAAGAAAGTACGGTCTACTGTAACTAAATTGCATTGTTGCTGGTTTCTTCTACTTGTTCGTGTTCGTAAATGTTGCATATTCGCCTCGCTGTCTTGAATTATTGTTTCTTCAGGTTGTGAAAGTTGGCTAGATTGTGACGTTCTTACGTCACTGATAAAAATGGTATCTCTTTATCTTTTGACTTATTGTTTCTGAAGCTCAAAGGATAGCTTTATATAGATTTGATGGGTGGTAGAGCGAGAACGTCTGGATGCTGTTGTACATGCTCTGCATACTGAACACTCCAGAATGAATCAAGATTGTGAATGTTTCCGATTGTTGCGCTCACGGTACACAAACATTGATTTCCACATATTTTCGCATGCTTTGTAGAAGCTGTTCGGCTCAGCGCACTTGGATGGGACGTTGTTTCAATACCTGTGGGGAGTCGTTGTTTTTGGCGCTTGGAATTGGTCATAAACAGCAGTTGTTGCACCAGTGGTCAGCCTATCCGCTAGTTTAAATGAGGACGCTTTAACAAAATGACTGTGGTTCAAATGAATTAAGGTACGTAGTTTAAGTGACAGCAACATTAGTAATTCACATGTTTCAAGAAAGAACGCTTAGTGCTCACATTCTTGGGCTTTCAAATGAGTAGGATTATTACAGTAGAGATGTCGCAAGAAGTTTATACTCTCGCAAAAACTTAGTTGCCCTACTTGAAGAATGACTTATAAATTGGCCTTATATAAAGAAGAACTTATCTATGCCATTTCGATCTTGCTATTCTTTGAAAGTAATCATGCGAAATCCGATCAACTCACAAATTTGCTGACGGTAAAGCATGATAGAAGAAAGCGCTGGTATCAACATTGAATAATTAGGCAGAGGACCAAGCTCGCCTTTGAAAATTTTTGAAATTTGAAGAGGTTTTTTTGCAAAGACTTGGTCAAAATTTCGTTTTCGACTTATCGCGAGTTCATATCATAGTCTGTCTAGCCTTAATCAGGCTGATTTCGGGCGGATTCGTTCGCGAGGCTACCGCGTTACGTCTCTAGCTTGTCCGTTCTTTCCTCAATACCTCCGCTCCTTCAGAAGAGGCATATGCAGCGCAAGGCCCTATCGCTGCGAGAAGTAAATTTAGCCAACGGTTCGGTCTGATCCCCATTGGGAAAGACTGTATGTGATTGTGCGAAGTGCGAGTCTTAATCATAGCTAGAACTGATTCGAAATCTCGCTGCTCTATTCATCACTTAAGAGCTCTTATAAAATCTGGAAAGTTTTCCATACGTTTCCCAGTTTTGTGCAAAACCCAGATCTGCAAAATGTTCTCGCTGCAAAAGTTGTATATTACCCATCTAAGGTTGCGGGTCAAGCAGTATGTTTTTCCAAATTTCTCGCATTGAATTCTGGAAAGCCAAAGTGCCGAAGGCATACGTACGTTTTGTGAAAGTATGCACGGATGCTTGCTGCACTCTGTTAACCAAAAGCGCTCGAGCTTCTGACTATGAAAATCGCTATACGTCCGCGCAGGGCGCGGAGAGTGCGCAAGGTGTGTATTGCGCGTCACTCCTCTTTCCTTGTGCACTCTCGCCGCCTATTTTTCTCTGCGCTTCTTCCAATCGTGAACTGCCTTCAATGTACTTAATAGCGTTGCTCTCCGTGCGCAGCGCGGACGGCCTATAGAACTGTAATGGTGGAAAATTTCAGTGAACATAAATTATCCTTCTAGACCGCTGCTTTTCCTCGCAAAACTTTTTACTGTAGCAGCTGAATTTTCTTCTGGACAATCTTTGCATCGTTTGAATTGGTGAAAAGAAAGAATTCATAGGTGATTTGACTGATAAAGAATCTTATAGTAACAGACATGATGTGTTATCAAATTGCTTGGGGCTGCTTAACACGTTGACGACGAGCCATTTTTTGAAGGTCTGTCCCTGTGGACGAACCGTTTCCGGGCATTTTCACAGCCGGCTGCACATATGTATGCATGCATCTATACGTGAGATACACAAATGCAAGTGGGCGAGGCAGCTCCGCCCACTTTTGGCAAGCCACGCCTACTTTTTAAAAATGCTGGAAATCGCTCAAAATCAGTGAATTCGTGCAAATTCCGGCATTTTTGAAAAGTGGGCGGAGCTTGCCACTGAGGGGGTGGAGCCTGCATTACGGGGGCGGGGTCAAAATCAAGATTATTCAAGGTTCCCCTGTCATCTATGAGCTTTTCTATGCGATTTGAGAACAAAAAAGTTTTTTGTAGAGGGCAGTGGAGTGGGCGGAGTTTGCCAAAAGGGGGCGGGGCCAACATGAAATACTTTCGAGCCTAACTTGATTATATGAACACAAATTGGAACCATTGTGCACATTAAAACTGATGTTTAGGGTGTCGCGCACCATTGCGCGACATCGTCCACAGGGACAGACTGCCTGTCGCGCACCATTGCGCGACACCGTCGTCAACGTGTTAAAGGCAGCGTCCCACCAGACTGGGAGTACCTGGCTCTCGTAATGATGTAATAGTAGACCCCCTACCTAAGCGATGACTGAAGCTCGGAGCGAAAAAGGGGGTCTCCAAGTGAAATTTGCTCCGAAAGTGGGCCGAATCTTACGGTAGGGCCAAACGCCGCCCACACGGCAAGCAATATCGATTTGCAGTGCCAGAGTGCGTACAGTCTGCCCTAATCGGGATCAGGCCGAACCGTCGGCTAAATTTACGCGCCGCAGGGCTGGGGGATTGCGCTGCATACGCGAGCTGTCGCAGAGAGTGAAGAGATCGAGGAGAGAGCAGACTAGCTAGCGGCAGATGTGGCGCGAAACCTTTGCGGCGCGGACTCCCGCCATGCCGATTTTGGCCTGGTTAGGATTGGGACAGACTGTACAGCGCACACATCATGAGCGCAGGGACCCGCAACCACTCTGCGTCTCTACCTTGCATGCACCTCGCACTCGCCCGATCCTACCGTAAGATTCGGCCTACTTTCGGAGCAAATTTCAGTCTTTGTAGACCCCCCTTTTTCGCTACGAATTTCAGTCATCGCTTACGTAGGGGGTCTACTATTACATCATTACGAGAGCCAGATACCCCCAGTTTGGTGGGACACTGCCATTAAGTGATGCTTGTCTAAGCGAATAGCATTACGGCTCGCCAAAGGTTCATGAAAGGAGACAGGGTCCGACACAGACCATATGTAAGCAGGCTGGACTTCGCTTTTATGCGAAAAAGCAGAGGGGATATCGTTTTTGTGGCCAAAAATGGCGACGCTTTTAGTTGACGCTTTGGTTTTTGGAGGTTGTTACGTTTAGGGCTGAAGGTCAAAGGGGCTTCGTTTTCAAAACCTATACGAAATGCCGGGGCCATGAAAGAAGGCACTTGCTAAAGGTACTTACAGAATCGAATCTGCAGGCGATCAGAGTGGGATCAACCGGCACATTGAGGTTAGAGAAAACTGAGTGAAGAGTGATACAACGCTGTAGATATAGATAGTTTTACCTCAGAAAATTGCTTTCTTCTTAACAAAATTGCTAACTTCTTCTCACCATGACGACAAATTGAACTTGGGGTAAGCCAGTCGTCAATGTTCTGGTGTGCACAAAAGCACTTCTGATACATCGATGGAATCATCAATGCGAGGTCACGTGCAGCTTAGCGGAATCATCTTTGATCAAAAGGGCAACTTTCCAGACTGTTTATTCTTAAGTGGCGCAGTGTTGGGGGGGGGGGGGGGGGAGTACAGTGAACGCACATTCGTACGCATGAGTCATCCTGCGCTTTATTATACAGAGATTCCTCGAAATCTGCCTTATGTGGCATTCTACTTGTTATGGGAATTGGTTAGTAAAAATTAGTAGCCTCAAATCAGTGCAAGGGGAGGGGGATGCAAATTTTTGTTAGCCCCCCCCCCTCACTCCTTCCCTTGGCCTCGAGGAGAACTCTTTCATCGTAGGTTGCTCCGCTCCAGCGCTTAAAACCGTCCACCCAGATTCTCGACTTCCAGGTTTCTATCGTTTCAGAGCCTTCTCATGTCCCTATTTCCGAATATGGAGTCTAGAATGCTCGAAACCCGACAATTCCGGTTCCGGAGAACCCACAGGCCGGCTTTCCGAAACGGTGATTGGATGGGCGCGCCAAATGGGCGGGCATGGATGGGGGTCCTCGTGCATCTTCGGTATTCCAAACCGATTTTCTCGCTTCCGAAGCGGCATTTTGCGTCGCACTTGGGCATTGGATTGCCAGGGGGCCCTACTATTATATGCTTCCAAAAGCTCCACATCCTCAACTTAGGGTGGACGGTGCCTTTAAAGGCAGCGTCGGGGCAGAAACGAAAATGTAGAGTACAGGAGCGCCCGTCCTGATAAGACTCTTGCCCAACTGGCAATGCACCAATTTGCTTCTGAAGCGAGAAATCCACTCCAGAAGTGGCGACCGGGGACGAGTTAGTTCGATAAGCCAGAGTGCGCATACCGCACACAGTCAAGAGGTAGGGCCCCACAAAGACTCTGCTTCTTAACCTTGGCGGCAGACGACATAATTCAAATCAAGAGCTTCTGGAAAAGCCCGTTTTCGACGTTCTCGTGCCCTCCAAGCTGCATTTCAGATCAACGGGAGAAATAAGCCCAGGTGAGCGAAAAAAAATCTCATTCGAAATTTTGCCCGGACGCTGCCTATAGAGGCAGCGTCCCACCAGATTGGGGTACCTGGTTCTAACATAATATTAATATAATAGTAGACCCCTTAACTAAGCGACGACAGAAGTTTGCAGCGCGAACTGGGGTCTACAAAGTCTACAAATCGCCCCTCAAGTGGCCCGGATCATGCGGTAAGCTTGGGCGGTACGAGAAGCATGCAAGGTAGAGTCGTTGCCGGACCCTCCCTCATGACCGTGTGTGCTACTCGTGGTCTGGCCTTGCAGTTCGAAATTGCTCTGTGAGTGGCGTTCGGGCCTACTATAAGATTCGGGCCACTTTCGGAGCAAATTTCAGGTTTGGTAGACTCCCTCCTTTGCTCCAAACTTCAGTCATCGCCTAGGTAGAGGGTCTACTTTAACATCGCCACAAGAACCCGGCACCCATCTTTTTGCCGGGAAGCTGCCTTTAGGGGCGGAAGAGACACAAAGTAGTGGAAATGTGGATACACAACTTGAATGAGGTTTATCGAAAACTAAGCACTGTTAGATTAGATGCAGGTCATTCAGAATTCAATTGTCCGCGCCTAGTATTGGGAGTGTAGAGTGCAATAGACTTGTCACAGAAGTGAGCGCATCTCTCTCGCTCTCTCTCTCTCTAACGTAACCTTTGATTCAACTGACTGGCGGTTAAAAGGCGGGGTTTTGTGACCTAATTAAGGTCGCTCGTGCCCGCGACACAGTCTGCACCTCTTCTGCGCGCGTACTCTCTGATCATTCCCTAGCCTTGACCGGGTCACGAAGTCCCGCCTTCCAGCCGCCAATCCACTTGAATCATAGGGTATTTTAACTCGAAGGATAGTCAGAGTATACTGTGCTAGTTAAAGAAACACGAAAAGGGGCGAAAAAGTTCTTGTAAAATCTGGACGCTTACACTCCCTCGCGACAAGCGCTCGGTTATACTGGTGTTCAAGGCATGGCGCATTAGGTTTTCTTGTCTTTTTTTAACCGTGTAAATTCAAGGTTGATCGAGGTTTTTGAAAGATGAAAATTTTGTTGCGAAGACAATGTTGTGTACAAGGTGTGCCCCTTTTACTGGGTCTTCTGCGCTTCATTTCGACCACAAGCGTGAGCAGCGGTGAAGGCCGAGTTGAAGATAGTGTCCAGGCTAAATCTAACAAGCTTCGCTCAGTATCATTCCTGATTGTAGACCCCAGAGGAGAGGGGCATTTGCATTGGTCCGGCTCTTTCTCTCTGATGTTGTCTCTGAATGGATATAATCCGGCTATGGAATAGCCAAGGTGCCATCAAGCTCCGCCCACCCGTGTACTTAAAGGCAGCGTCCGGGCAAAATTTCGCCTCTCATGTTTCTGCCATTCTGGGGCCTTTCCGTGGCCCTGATTACAGTTGTAAATTCCAAATTGTTCAAAACTCCCAAAAAACCCGGTTCTTGGGGACCCTCTCTTCAAGGAGCGGACGAGTTTCGAATTGCTCATCCCCATCATCATACCAGCGGGAGGAGCTGCAACTGTATGGATGCAGTTGCATTGCAGTATGCAGTGCAACTGCAATGCAACTGCACACCTGCGTAAGCACTCGTCCTCAGTGGTGTTTGTGATACGAAGGGGCAGCTTGTGATACGTATCACAGACCCGTATCTCCTTTTAGAGGGCACGTCAAAGGATTGGACCAACGCAGATCGGATACTCATGGGCCCCTCTTTACAACTATGTGCTAATCTGGGTGAATGGATCTTGCCTGGACGCTGCCTTTAACACATTGACGACAAGGCCGATTTTTCGATTACTGGCATTTCGGACAGGAGCCTTTTTTGCTCTGCCAAACTTACGACCCACCCGTGGGTCGTATTGTCCGAAATGGTAGTCTTTTTGGAAAAAATTCAGAACATGTCTCCGATTTCCCCACGAGGGTTATCGAACGCGCTGATTACTAAAATATGATTTATTTCAGTTTTTGGCGCTATACGGTAAGGTTACGGCAGTCATTCTGTACGAACCCAACATCATGGATTTTCATAAAAATTTGTGTGTTGGGGTTATTTCACGTGCTGATCACGATTATAGTGTCCACTTTGTTCACTACATTCTCACGGTGAGACTACGGTAGCAGTACGGTAGAATTTTCGAAGAAATCAAGAAACTGATGTTAAAAGGTGGTATCAGAACTTGAGAATATCATTTTCGTAATCAGCATGCTACAAAACCTAAATATGCAAAGTTCGAGCTTCCTAGGATGAAAAATGCAAAAAATCAATACAATCAGTGAAATCGATAATTTTGATGGGCTAACGTCAGCCTCTTGCACGCCCCGTATTACTCTTACATGTAAACTTGATTCTCCAGAAACAGCATCATTTTACGGAGAATTTGAGCTAAAGCTTGTGCCTTATATATATCTATCGTATACCTATCGAACATTACATTACAGTACCCCGAGCCCGGACCACTCTTGCTGGAGCTTCACCTAAGTGCCCCCAATCATGTGCCAAAACCTCGTAGAATTCCGTCGTAAACTGGCAAAGACAGCGCTCCATGAATCTTACAACCCACCGGTGGGTCGTGTTGTCCGAAATGGCAGGATACGACCCACCGGTGGGTCGTATTGTCGTCAATGTGTTAAAGGCAGTGTCCGGGCAAAAACTCGATTTTGAGATTTTGAGACGGGCCTATTCGCCATTATGAATCCGAAGATCCACATTGGAAAGCGCGAAAACGGCGAAATAGGGCTCTAATATAGGAGGGAAATCAGCAAGTGGGCGGGGCTTTCCCCAGTACGATTTTACGCTCCCAGCTCACCGTGCGAATTTCTCGATTCCGCTAGCCGTTCTAATATCGTTACCGGCCAAGTGCGAATGATTGACTTGAAACCGGAAGCGAGAAGGTCGCTCCGGTAGCCTGGAACGTGAATTCGCAGTGGGGAGGACCCCGCGCCCACCTGCTCCCTCCTGTGTTAGAGCCGTTTTCCGCCATTTTCGCGCTCTAAAATGTGCATTTTCGGATTCAGCGTAGCGAATAGGCCCAAGTAAGCACAAAGTCTCAAAATCGAGTTTTTGCCCGGACACTGCCTTTAAAGCCGTCGTCTGCGCCCTCAAGACGGAGTCCCCAGTAATTAGGTTTTTTGAGGGTTCTGGACAATCTGAATTTCATAACTGTAATGGCCACGGAAAAACCCCAGAATGGCAAAAACATGGGAAGCGAAATTTCGGGGTGGACGCTGCCCTTAAAATTTGGCCTGTTAGTGCAGGAATTTCTCATGCACGAAGAGAGTTGTAGAGCTCAATTCGGTAGTTATGAAGAGAACTGCTGGAGCTTTATAGATTACCAGCTGGCTTATCCGGCTCCACCGGCCCTGTCAAAACACTATGCTAAAGGTCCCATCCGTATCCCTGTACGCTTTCCTTGTGGCTACTTCTACATACCAATTCGTAATTCTCGCTGTGTTAGTAATCAGCATGTCACCAACCCCCTTGTGCCAACTTCCAGCTGGAGCTCAAACTTTGTAAGAAAAAATTATAATTTACAAAAGTAAAGATAATTTTGAAAACTATTATAATATTCCATTCGTAATCACATGCTCGGTCCCCTCTGTGCCAGCTCCCAGCCCCGTAGCTTAAACTTTGCAAAAAAATGATTAAATCGTTGAAAGTAAGAATAATTCTAAAACTAATACATTCAGCTTTATACATAAGATGTTACACACATCATTGCATGCAAAAAAATGTTTTTCCAAAAATTAGAAGGATCGTCCATTTTTGCACCCTGAAAACGTCACTTTTTGAGTAATAAGTTTGAAGTCTTCCTTTCTTTGCACCGACTGAACCAAA